CAGGCTCTCTGCTCAGTGGGAAGCCTGCTTCCTCCTCTCTCTCTCTGCCTGCCTCTCTGCCTACTTGTGATATGTCTGTCAAATAAATAAATAAAAATCTTAAAAAAAAAAAAAATAACTTCAGGGCCACACCCACACAGGGCCCTGACTTCAATGGCAAGCATGTTCTTTGTACAGACCTTTATGATAATCCTTCTCGCATTACATTACATGTCATTTATTCCTCATCCCTAGCACAGTGCCTGGCACAGAGGAGACATTTAGTACCACATTTAAATGAAACCAACGTGCTACTATCATTATGTTACCTACTAAAGAGAAAAACTGTTGCCAGTTACCTGTAAGATGGTGATCCTTGGGAGAGGGACCCACGTTTCAGAGATGTTAAAATGTGAAAGAAAGAAATTTGATACACTTTATGGAAGAGGGCAAAAGTTTCCTAGCTAAATGTTCTCTATCCCAATTCATTCTGAACATGTAGAATAGGAATTTCTAAGGAGGCGCAGGAAGAGTCAAAATCCTCACCTTGGGTGGCGCACGAAAACAGTCACATGACCGCGGTCCGCCTGCACTCCTGTGACTCCTTTGCATCTGTGTCCTCAAGATGCTCCCTCCCTCCCGAAAGGCTTCCTTGCTCTCCCAGCACGTTCCTGGGCTGCCTCTGGAGCCGCCTTGCCTCCTTCTTGCCAGTCTGATGGTGAGTGGTGCAGAAACGTTTTAATTAATGGTGAACTTCTCCAAGTTGAAGTGCAAACAATTACAGCTCAATTTTACTTTCGGCCTCATTTTCGGCTTTTCCATTCTCTCCTCCCTCCCCATTAGATGACTCCGTTTCACAGTCTGTAAAGCTGGCTAATGGCTCTGCTTGCAGAAGAGAGGGCATTGTTTCTCTCTCCTGCAATTAAAAGCTGCTGAGCGGCAAAGCCAGAACTCTGGGGCTCAACATCGCTAGGGGAGTCCTTCCAAAAGGTGGACGCCGCACACTTCTCTAGCAGGGGCATGATTTCTTTTTCCAAGAAGGGATCACGTCTTCTTCAGAACAACTGTTTGCACACAAGACTCCAAGAAAGTTCATAGCACACATCACAAGTACATCTGATATGTAAGTGAAGTGATCTGTAGCACTGCTAATTAGACCTAAATTCTTGATTTACTATTTATAAAACAAAATTGATTATTACTTCATCAACAACATTTAAAGCATCATTAAGAGAGGTCTGCTCCAGCAGCCTCAGGTTAAATTTTTTAACAAGCACTTTAGTTGCTAATCTGTGTTATTGCCAACATATGTAAACTTCCTAATGCTAATTGCATTCAGCTGTGAATCAAACAATGTCTAATTCTCTTCAGGATTAATTATGCACATGTGCTGCCTGCATTCCTAAACATGGTTCTCATAAATAATAAGAGATATATCTAAGCAGATGGGATTTTTCCAACTAAATGATCTGTTTATCATGAATAAAACAAATGACACATTCTAGACTTCAAATGCAGAGTCACTGCAACTTCACATATTTTTAGCATTAATAATTACCCCCACAATTGTTTGTGTGAACACAGTTTCGAACAATTGAGCAGCAAACCGTGTTTGCTCACAAGCTATATTTATCTCTTACCACACTGAAAAATTTTTTTGAACTGAGAACTGGGAACAGTGTAGTTATTTCATGTGCTGACTGGGTAAAGATAATTGTACACTGTAAAGATTCAACTTCTGTGATCCCCAGGGAGTTATTTTTAAATGGACTTTGTAATTAAACTGATAAAATGTTATACGGTCTTCTCACTTCAGAGAACAGAACATGTTTGTGGGCATCTTTTCTAGCGTTGTAATTTCTAGAATCATTTCAATAGTTCCATTCAGTTCTTTGTTCCTGCAACAAAGATAATTTTGAAAGAAAATGTACTTGTATAAAAAAGAAAAGAAACATAGGAAAATGTATAGAACTGTTGCTAATCTATTCTATTTCTGTGGGGTTTTGTTCACTTGTGTAGTGTACCCATAGTATTTTCATAGTAATATGAGTCAAAGTTGAATTGGCATGCGTTGGCATTCCAGAAAAAAATAAGACTATTTTCCTTTGAGGAGGGAAATCCGTAACAGCTTTTTCTAAGTGGAGTTGAAAACTTATTACCAAGTCCACGACTGTCTCCCTTCCTCTCTATCCTTTTTATTCCTTAGTGACCAAAATTTATCTGTCTTGTCCATGACCATTTTTCCTGGATTTTGCTAGGTAGCTAAGCTAGTTGATATATTATTTAAACTACAGCTCTAAAGAGTACATAAGTGTATGTAAACCTTATGATACAAAAAGACCTGAGTTTGAATCCTGTTTCTACTACGTAACAGCACTGTGAACTTACAAGTTATTTAGCCTCACTATGAAATTTATTTTCTTCACCTCTAAAAGATGACAACACCTCCCTTTTGGTTCATGTGAGGATTTACGGAACCTTCACTGTTCCTGTGCATAGCTGGTAGAAGATGCTCAGCTAACAGGAATTCTTTCCCCTTTTCTTGTCTTAATTATCTCTCAGCAGTCACACCTGGAGCCTTCACAAAAAGGGGACACATGGAACTTTCAGTGGAAGATAGACCTAGCAGGAACAGGATTTTCTGGAACTTCTCAACCTCACCTAAGTCCATCGTTTACTTCCGTGTCCTATATTAAAAAAAAAAAAAAAAAATTCCTCGTCCTAAATTACATAATTCTTACTTAGCTTAATCACAGTCCATGCACTGCTTAAAAGCACAGACTTTGTGATTATACCAGTGCAAAAATATAACCCTGCCATGGTTTTCACAGGAACACTTAAAAACATGACCTATGTGATAAAGTCATAAATTAAAACACTGGAGCAAATATTAATTCAAGCTGGCAAACCTGGTAACTTAGGTTATTTAACTGGGGCAGTGACTATTTCAAGCTCTTATGATTACCCATTTTTGGCTAAGCAATCAGCCAAGGCCCTCCCTTCTAGTGTTGTGAAGAAATCCTAGGATTCTGGTCTCATGTTGCTGGTTAGTAGGTGATGGTGTGAATGTGGTTAACGGCAGCCGTAGAATGTGGAGGAAAGTGTTCTCTGGCACAAACTGCCGTTTCTCAAACATTTCACTGGCAGACATTCTCGCCTCTTCCCTTTACATCCCTGGAACTGCCCTGGAACCCACCTCTCACTTCTAGCCAAGTGAGGTGTAATCTTCTTGCCCTCATTCAACATTTGACTCATCTCAATTAGGTGGAAACTGCTCAGATTCAAGTATTGGAAAAGGTTTTTTCCTTCTTTAATCAAAGTTTTAGATTGAGAATTCAACTGGACACTAGAAAATCAGAACTAAAAGCAAAGGCAAAATAAAACAAAACAAACAAAACTCTGGACTTAGTCCTGCTGATAACTTCCTTTGCCTGCGGATACTCTCCGTACAATTCGTGTTTCTGTTACATGATAACTGAGGTATTTTCGATACCGAGACATAAAAGCACAATTATATCCAACAGCTGCATTTCCCAAGCCAGGAAAGTAGGTATTTGAGATGGTTTCCCATCAAGTTAAAACTGAAATGGTTACTGGGATGCCCGGGTGGCTCAGTTGGTTAAGCCGCTGCCTTTGGCTCAGGTCATGATCCCAGGGTCCTGAGATCAAGTCCCACGTGGGGCTCCTCGCTCAGCAGGGAGCTTGCTTCTCTCTATGCTTCTGCCTGCCACTCTGCCTGCTTGTGCTCTCTCTCTCTGACAAATAAATAAAATCTTAAAAAAAACCCAAACAAATGGTTACTGAACTTCACCTTGCCTCAGTCTCCTCATCTGTAAAGTGGAGACAAAACTAGTAAATCTCTTATAAGATCCTTTGAGGATCAAATAAAATAATAAAATGCTTAGAACAATGCCTAGCAGTAAGTGCTTAATACTTGCTTTCCTCTATTCTTGTCATTAAGAACTTATAAATTCAACCAACCCAAACTCTCCAACACATTTTTGGCCTTCATATGACTTTCTTATTAATCATGGATTTGAGTAAATAATCTACGAAGTAAATGATGCACGGAGATTTAAAAATGTCTGTCTATCCTTAAAACCGACAAGCATCCAAAAATACAAAAGGAAGAAAAGGAATAAAACACTGGATTAATGCAGGAAATGGTGTGATTGGAAATTCTGGTGGCTGCACAATGTATCTGCCCAGGGCACTGAGCCTGAGGGTGTTTTTATGGTTTTATTTTTCCCCCCTTCACTTTTCTCTGGGCTCAGGCCCACATGTAAATGCAAGCATCACTCCATTCTCCTCCCCATTAGTGTCTTTCCAGACTTGATAAGGATATTCATGCTGTTCCCAAGGGTTTAATAATTGCCAAAAGATGCATTAAATGATAACACTGATTGTGAAGTACTTTAAGTCACTAAATTCTCTTTTTAACAATTAATTTCATATCCTTCCAAAAACAATTTTAACTGCTTGGCATGCAGCATATGGTACTTAATATTATACTGACGTTTAAACAAGTCTAAATTTGCTAGTTTCATTAACCAGCTTTACGCTAAAATTTATTTGATTTCTAAAACGTACGTTTGGCAACGAAAGTGCTATCTCATATAATGTAAAGGGTACTTGGGTAGGAGGCTGCCGTCCAAACATGTTCAACTGCTTGCTAATGGATGTTAAAGAAATTTCCCCTGTTCAGTGTCAAAATTTTAAGTCTGGGGACTTGAAAGTGAAGTGAACTTAGATGAATAAACAAACTCTGTTCTATACAGTTTATCTGAAATATAAAAAGGAAGAGCAGAGAAAATTGCCTGTACACCCTCAGCTTTCACTATCAAAAATATTACCCCACTGGTCATAGATATTACTAAATTTTTACACATCAGGTCCCAGCTTAAAAATAACAAGGCTAAAATGAAACACAACAAGGAAAATTATCATCAGTGTCATCTGTCATCAGATAAATACATATTTTCTTTTATCTTCATAATTGGACTTTATCCTCTGATTTCTAAGGCTCCTTCTGGTTTAGAAGTGTACCATTCCTAGTTCTTCTAAGATTTTTGAATTTGCATATACATTTATTTTGGTGAGTTACCAATAATTAGTTACCCTAATTATTCTAAATACTTAATTAGAAAGATGAAAAATATCATCACAAGGCTGCATTATGACTTTTGTGGGCCCTAGGAAATTTTGTCTTCCTGGGTGCCTTCCTCCATTAAAAAGATTGTATGAAAAATTATATTTTACAGTTGCGCTTGTATAAAGCTGAATATATTAAGATCATGTGTTAAAATATTTTCTTCTACTTAAAAGTTTATTTTTAAATTCTTAATTTTCTTTAAATTTTTATTCTTAACCATTTTTGTTAATTTTTATTTTTAACAATTTCACAGACCCTGTAAATTACTGTGGGTTCTAGACACTGTCTATTCTAACGAGTAAGTTGGCCCTGATTGCCCTACTCTAATTGGTGTATCTGCAGGTTCCCAAGTCATCTAGGGGGGTGTTTCTCAAATTTTAATCGGTACGAAAATCAGAGAAATGTTGTTAAAATACAGGTTCTGATTCAGTAAGTATGCAGTGGGTCATGAGCTTCTACCTCTCTGACAAGTTCCCAGGTTATGCTAAGGCTGCTGTTCTGTGGACCACACTGTGGTTCACACTCTATTATATATATTATATAGAATTATAATCCCTATACCCAGACCCATACTTGTATCTGAATCTGTGTCTGGAAGCAGATATGCCAACATATTAGCAGGAATCATTTATTTATGTTGGAAATCTAGAGGATATCTAGTGATATCTGTGTAGTTCACTATTTATCAATCCTCTTCACTGAGCATGTGTCAATTTTCTAAATATTTTTTATCTTAGATGGTTAGAAATAATATATACTACAAACATATCCATGAAAAAAAGCAACATAAACCAGTCAAGGTACAAAACACAAAATGTCATTTTGATTGTCTTGTAGGAAGAGATGGGGAAAATGAAACCTGGCTATTAAGGAAGCAAAATGATATTTCAATATGAAAGCATACTTAACAGAACTCAAGAGTTTTGCGTTTACTACAGTGAAAGACAATTAAGTTTTAAAAACGTATTCTTTTAACACACTATATGATTCTCCAGATTTTTTATTTATCTTTCACCTCTGTGACCAATACATTCTAAACACTTACTGTGTAATTGCTAAATCTTGCTTTTTGGTGAGTGAATAAATACATAAAAAGTCCATTTACTTTAATATTTTTAGCAATGTCCAACATAATCAATAATGAGCAAATCCAAGAAAATGGCTGAAAATTCAGAGTCTATTACACAGGTTGTTATCATAACTTGAAAGACACCTACCATGCTATTCATCCCAATTCTTAAATATCATTGGCACTTAAATGTTAAAAAATTTGTCTTTGGGGATCTACAACACTACCCAAAAGTTTACTTTTACAATTTTTTTAGAAGTTAAAACATTGCTCATGAAATATGTTAAGTTTATCTGAATAACATAAAGTAATATTACTTCACTTTTTCCATGAAATCTTAATGGACATTCTTTTTATCACCTTAATTTATTATAAAGTGGTGATTTTTTTTCTTTCAAAATCTCATATTTTAACTTACAGTATGTGAACATTTTTTTTAAGTCTTTTTCTAATCATCCATCAGGCTCTGATAGTTATAAATGCTAGCTTAAATCCAAATGATTTGAGCAGAAGAGAAAATAAAAATCCATAGTTTGAGATTGGACAAATATATTTTGCTTGGCAGTCAAGATCTCATATAGCTGAATAATATAGTATGTCATCGCAACATAACAAATACAGTATATATGTATATATATATAATCTTTGAAGTTTTAATGTTCTCTTTGTGCTATACCTTTTAAAATTTTATTTATAACCAGTATATGACATATAAACAATGGAAAGCTTTCAAAGTTGAGTTCATTACAGGTATTAAATGCACCCATAATTATACCTTTCTCCATTCACTTGAGGTGACCTGTTATTTGGCACTTTTTGGATGGAAATATTCTTATTCAATTCATGGAATGTTTTCAACTATATTAGTGCAGTATGTAGTAACTGCCTTATCCAGACATATAATTCTTACAGAAATACTGGAATGGAACTCCATGAAATTAATATTCTGTGTTTCCCCTGCAGACCCTTAGAAAGAGGAATTTTATATGATTTTTGCAGAAACCTGATATAAGCCTGTATAACTTAAGGATCACATTCAGGTTATTTCCCATAATTACTTAGCACCAGGCCAACACCCTGTATACAATGCCATATTTATTTTAGGTGAACTATAGTTTTGAGGTTTTATAATTTCTTTGCGTAATGTGTATATTTAGAAAATATATACATACGGTTGACAGACGTTATAACTATCCCTGCTATACAATAGAGCCATTGAGCCTTTGTCTCTGATTCATATAAACATGATCTTATGAACTGTTTTAAACTTCAGGAAACAGATTACTTTATCCCGTATGCCAAATTTTAAAATTTTTATGGTGATATGTATATATACAATATTTATACATGTTAAAGAGATTCATAATTGCCTATGTAAGTCTGTCTAAATTAATTTATTCATGTATTTCCCCTGAAAGGCTTCACAACTGGTCCTTTGGTGGTGAGAAACATGATGTCATGGAGAACCAGTGACCTAACTACTAAGCAGAGGCGCTTCTAGAAAACTAAATCATTTAGGGGTGCAGTGATATTTTTAATTATGTAAAATATGAAATATAAAAAGAACATATGAAACATCTATGTGACTTAGGAAGCACAGTAAGAAAAGATCCTCACGATTCTACGACATAATCTAAGAACTAGAATGTTACTGAAGGTGTTTCATCTGTTCATATTTTCCCATTCCTTTTCCTCCCCTGGAGGTAATCGCTACATTGAATTTTGTGTTTACCAAATCCTTTTAAAAATAGTTTCATCACAACAAAATGTGTTATTTAGATTTGGTTGCTATTGAGTTTTACAAAATACTACGTGATCATTAGTTTTCAATGTTCTAGAGAATGGACTGGCCACCTACAGCCATGGGCCAAATCTGACCACGAGTCAGATGTATTTTATGCAAGGTCCAGTTTTACCACAATGGCAAGAAGACCTGGCAGAGTATCTGGTGTGCCTTACTGTCTGAAACAAAGCCTCCAATAACCACTTCAATTATCAGAGATTAGTAATTAGAAGATTACATCACAAATCTCTAAAGGACTAAAAATTCCTCCTAAATTTTAAAAGACTAAAATCAAATTGTTTCAAACTTATTATCTTAGCTAGAGCTGCCATAACAAAATTCAAAAGACTACTTGGCTTAAACAGACAGTTATTACCTTCTAGTTTCAGAGGCTAGAAGTCCAAGATCAAGGTGCCAGCATGGTTGGTTTCTGTTAAAAGCTCTCTTCCTGACTTGTAGATGCCTGCTTTCTTGCTGTGTCCTCACCTGGTGGCAGATGAGGGAGGAAGGAAAGCAGGAAGGGAGGAAGAATGAGAAAGGGAGAAAGGTAGGCAGGGAGGTAGAGAAAGAAAGTGGGAAGGAGAGGAGGGAGAAAGAGAGGGTGAAAGGGTGAGCTTTGTTTCTCTTTTCATTAGGGCACTAAGCACCTCGTGAAGGCCCCAGCCTCAAGACCTCATCTAAACCTAGTTACCTCCCAAAGGCCTTATTTCCAAAACTCATAATATTTGGGGGTAAGAGCTTCAATATATGAATTTGGGGGAATATAATTCAGCCCATGGCACTTACGTTTGAATTTTGTATTTTAAATCCAATGTGTGTGTGTGTGTGTGTGTGTGTGTATAATATATGAATATACATATATGATTATAATATGTAATTATGATAATAACAATATAATTATATATATAATTATATTATATATTTATAATAATAATTATGATAATGACAGTAATGCAATTGACCAAGCAATGGAATATTTCTGAACTACCGTGGCTGGTTTTCTCCCTTTGAACATTTAGAACTACAAATCAACACACCCAATTTCATGAAGCATTTCTCACAATATTGAAGTCATGACTGACTCTGCTATGGTTGAGCAGATGCAATCTTTTAAAATACAGCTGTTGGTGTTGCGTATTTTTGTTTCATGCAAAAGCAAAACCAACTACACTCAGGATCACATAGTTTTGTTATGAGTCACCTAACCTATCCCCCCTCACAGTCTTTTTATCACTCCATTCCTCACCTTCTCTACTAAGTACTTAAGATTTCCTAAAATAACAACTCTTTTTCTGAAACACCCTCTAAATTCATAAATTCTTTCCTCTGCTCATTCAGTTTCCTTTGACCAAGTCATTCGTTTCACAGTATATATTCCAGAAACACTAAAAGGTATATGTTGTATAAACATGTTTTATTTGCCTTTTTCAACTATAAATTCACCTTGTTATCTTTCTCCAATGTGCAATTTAATTGATTAATTGCTGGGCCTCACTCCCAGAATTTCTTATGCAGAAGGTCTGAGGTGGAACCTAAACATTTGTGTTTCTAGTAAGTTCCCAGGTGATGCTAATGTTGCTGGTCTGGGGACCACACTTCAAGAACTACTAATTAAAACATTTTTAGCCCTTCCCAAATCCAAATGATGTCCTTGGAATAATCCAAGTCATGGAAAGCTAAACGAGATTATTTTGACTGGTATGTAGGTTTAGGACAGCAGGCCATACTGAAAGATTTTTTAAAAAGTCTGGGAGAACCTGTCTTTAGATTTATTATAAAGATGTTGGGCGCACATGGTACACATTAATTGGCTTCTTTTATACCTTGGCACATTGTTAACTATCCTACATGTGTTCTTTCTGCATGTGAAAACCTTCATTTTTCTGCATGTGAAAAAATTCATTTTTGAATTGTGTGTTGAGTAACTGACCATATTTCTGTCTTTGGGTTGATTCTTAGGAAGCCCAGAGGCAAATGCATAGCCAATTTCTAATAAATCATGTGAGGAATTAATTTTATACTTGTGCATTAATTTTATACTTGGCTCTACCTTCTATTATTTATTCTGATTTTTCCTGCCCTCCTATCAACTTCCTCTTATTTTTATGTTTTTCCTTTTTGTATCCTTATAGGGTTGCTTATTTTGGAAGAGAAGAGTGATAAAGGTTATGAAATTAGCAAACAGCTTAGCCATCAAACAGATAAATGCAGGACAACACAGATGATGTCAAAATTAGTAAGATGAGGTTCAAATAAATTCCACTGAGTATAACATAGAGAATTTGGGGATCTATTACATTTTCCCTGGAGTGTTACCCTTATTACTTGGTTAGAGTCCCACTATTCTTCAACAGTGAGGTTTGTAGTATTTCATTGCTAAGTGAGGTTTACCTTGAGTTTCACAGAGCATAAACTGGGATTACTTTCCAGGAGAACACAACCCACCAGGTCCAGGATTCTCCCTTTTGCAAGGAAATGGAGGGGGGAAGTACCTCATAAATCTAAGTGATTCTGCTTCCTGTTATACATCTGGAATGTTGTATTTATTATTGTATAGAAAACTAAAAAAAAAAAAAAGGGGAGTACTATTCACGGTAGATTACTTTTACTTGTTCCACTATACCGTGTTTAATTAGTGGGGGCTGGGGGGAACGCTGCCAAAGCAAATGAGGAGGGGCTTGTTTTCTGCTGTTGTTGTTCAAGGTCTTCTTGCTCACGTGTCAGTGAAATATTCCCGATATATGGCTGCGATCTTGTTGATTCTTTTAAACAAACATTAAGTCAGACGGAGGGAAATCATTTCCATATTTCACGCAGAAAATACATATGTTTTCTATCAAAATTTTGGGAGATTTTTTTTGTTTAATTGAGGAGATTAATTTACTAGCATGTTTCATGTTTCTCTACACTGTAATTTGTTTTTAATTACACATGAATACCATATGTAGTTCATTGACACTCTTTATTAATTCTTGAAAGTAAATTTACTCACCACTCATGTCACTTGTATCATGGGGTGTGTGTTCCTTGTTAAGTGATTCCTTTCTAATTTCTAAATAATTAGCTAATTAAGGCCATGATCCTAGGGTTCTTATGCAAGGATAACACCCACTGGCTTGAAGACAGCGGGATTTGCTTTTATTGTGGATCACAGTGCTGAGTATCCTCATCGTGTTGTTTTTTCTAATTAAAGTCGTATTCATATTTGCAAATGTTCACCTGTGAAAATAAACTTGTTAAACAAGCTTCTGGGTTTCTGTATTGTGAAGGTGGTTAAGTCACTGATGGTAGATGCTGGAGAATCTCAGTGGATTCTAGTTAGCGCCACTGATCAACACTGTACTGCATCTACAACCCTGGCTAGCCACCTTGCAAACATCTGTAGCTGATCATAGGAACAGCATTAAATCAGACTAAACATCCTAACCCAGGGACACTAACCTTACTGCTGCAAATAAAAATAATGATGATAATACTTATAGTTTTCTAGCACTTACTATATGTCAGAGACCGTTACATATATTATGTAAACCTCAGTTAATCATCACCAAAAACTGTTGGAGTTTGTATATGTCCTAATAAGAGTCGGTTAATAAGATCATTATTTTATTTAAGGACATCACATTTCTGCAAATAACAGAGAAGTATTTAAATGCACAAGAAATACCAACATTGACCTACCAGAGTGTGTTTGACTCTGACCTGTTCTTTGACATAGAATTTGAAAAGGAATGGTGTGATTTCTTCATCTATCACAATTTATTTTATTAGTTGGTGAGATTTTCGTGAGAAGGACACCTAATGCTGCACTGGGCCGAGTGAACAAACTGTCAATTAAGTATAATGGGAGAACATTTCCCCTAGTTCAGCTGGGCTGCTACAGAAGGTGAGATTCTCTGTGTTTATTTCCTGTGTGCTTTTAAAGTGGAAAAGAACCACCAGGCTATTTAACTTTCTATTCCATACTCTATATTACCCCCCCATCTTTTATTGAATTCAAGCCATCACTGCTTCTCATTTAAATCAGTATGTTAACGTGTGAGCTGGTTCACTTTATCTCTGGCCTTCTGCCTTTCCTGTTACTCCTTACCAGGAGTCTTTCCACAGCACTTCTCTGAGCAAGCAGCCTCCTGACGGGAGAACCCCAGATAAGCCCCATAGTTTCCAATAAAAGACTCAAGGCATTGGAGAGACATTATAATGCCTTCGCAGCCTGGCGTGATTTTGATCTCCCACCCCTTACTTACCTTTTCACACTTGCCCCCCACTTGCACGGTGCTGTTCTGACAGCCGTTACACAGGGCCTTACAGAAGCACGGAGTACATGCTGGACTAGCCATCTCCTTCACTTTGCTTCTGCTCTTACTCTGCCCGGTGCTCCTCCTCTTCCTCCCATTAATAGAGAATGAGATGCTGCCAACTCCATGTCTAAACATCATCACCTCCTCCAGGATGCCCTTTCTGACTATCAGCATTAGTAACACTCCTGTTGCTCTGGGCTTCAATTCCCATCTCCCAGGACTTATTCTGATCTGTAACATAATTATTTTTTTACATGAACGACTCACTGTCAGATTAGGAATTTTTAAAAAACGGTAATTGCCCCCGACCGTGTGTCTCCCCCCCACCCTCCTATGTATGCACATCTCACATGACTGTGCTTGGTCTGGCAGCACTCTGCAGCTACTGGAGGCCTCAGGGCCATATGTGGGTGAGCAGAGTTGTTGTCTTCCATGTGGACAGTGTCTTTATCTTTGTATATCTTTTATCTTTAATTTCCCTTTACTTGTAACAGTGCTTACGTAGTATATTAGTAGGAATGCATTATTCTGCTTTTAGATTAACAGCCATCCCTCAATCAAATGTAAACTTCTTTAACATAGAGTTCTTGTCTTTTTCATCGCTTATTTGTCCTGGGTACTCTGCATCCAGAGAGGCTACAGAGCACCTCCGGAGCCAGACTGTCTGGCTTCGCATCTCCACTCTGCCTGCACCTAATGCTATAGTCCTGGGCAAGTCAGTTCACCTCTCTGACCTTCAGAGGACATCTTTAGAATGAGGAAAGTGACCGTGTCCACCTCACCGGGTTGTTGTGAGGCTTAAACAAGATGTGTACAATGGCTAGGGTCATGCCTTGCCCCGAGCAGGCCCTTAAGACCTGTCCTTGGTTCTTCTTGTGCTGGGCATGCCTTTCCCATCTCTCCTGGACCTCACATGCTCCCACACATTGCCCCTGGCCTTGGGTCCCTCATGGTCCAAAGGTAATAGAGACTCTCCTGAAGGTCTGACTAGAAGCTCCCAGAAGACAATTCCTGAATCAGTTCTAGAGGAAATGCCTCTTGTGTTAAACAGATTCCTGCCAGTGTTCAAAAGGGCTTCTTCTTCTTCTAATTATTTCTTTAACTACCTCTGTCCCATCTGACTATATTCCTTCTGCGTTGCTCAGGCAAACTCTAAGAAAAGCCTGAGCAAACAGGTAGGCCTTTCAACTTGTACCCTGAATGCACAACTAAATCCAGAGCTAATGAAGTTCATTCAGATTAAAAGCACTTCATATGCCTACGACAGCTCTTTATATAATGCAGTTAGGGGTAGAAAATTCATGGTATTTCATGCCTACTTATATGCTTTTCATGTGAAAAGATACAGTATAATAAAAGTCGAGGATTACTCATGTTAATTTATTATATTTTGCTGATATGGTCACATCAAGGGCTTAAGAAATATACTTCCACAGCAGTACAAATGAAGGAAGGATGGTTTAAGACATGGTACATAAATGCTCTCCTTCTTGCTGCTTTTAATGACACTTCATTTAGAAATACACCCTCTTTCAAATGGCTAACACTATTTTCAAAGTAGACTTCTTTAGGAAAAATCACTATAAAATGCATTGAGTTGATTGTTTAGTAAAAAATTCGAGAAAATTATCCTCATATAAACGTACTGAAATGTAACAAAAAATGAAAGGCAGATGCCCCATAATTCTCCTCAGTGTTAATTTTTAGAAGAAATCTATTGTATATACCAATTTAGTTTACTTAATACATTTTATATGACATGTAAATAAAAAGAACTTTATTTAATCTTAATTGGGTGGGTTTGGTGCCTTTGGAATTATAATTGAAGCAAATTATATTTAAATAAAACAAAAACAATTTGTACTCTTTTCACTAAAAAAAAAAAAAAATCTTGGAAATATCTTTGACATGAATCAACAAACAAATAGTGAGCACCTAGCTACACAAAACACTAAGTTGGGGTGGGGTGGGGGTTGGAACAGAACCAATTCCCAGGGAATCAGTAATCAAATTAGACATCTTGTAAATTCACATACACATATCAACGTAAGTAACTGTATAAGTCAGTATGCAATGCAGTCTAAGTTAAGAGCGCAGATAATAAGTGCTAGAAGAATTCAGAGGAGGAAAAATACTGCAGTGGGCGTGAAACACTTGGCAGTCTTCAGAGATGAGGTACTATTTCAGTTGACAGTAGATTATATTTAATAAGCAGAGAAAAGGGAAAGGATATATCTGATCAAAAGGTGCAATGGGCAGAGGAAGATTGAGTAGGAAGCAAATGAACTTTAAGGTGCATGGGTCCCTCCCCAAACCTGTACTCTCTGTTGTATTCATAATTTTCCCCCTCCCTCCTTCTGATCCTTCTTAAAGATCTCCCAAGTTGCATGAACTTTGGACCTCTGTTTATTTGATAAAGAACCAAAGTTGATGGGGAAAAATGATTTCCTATTAGGACAATAAATGGACTGGTCTTCATTTAACAGAAGGTCCTTAATCAAAGTGGCCCAGGGCAATGACTAGAAGTGTAGTCCTCTAGACTGTTTATTTCCCCTCAAAATTCATCTGTTGAAACCTAATCCCCAATGTGATAGTATTTGGAGGTGAAGGGTTGGAAAGTGATTAAGTAATAAGGGTGGAGCTCTCATGAATGGAATTAGTGCCCTTATAGGAGAAATCATAGGGAACTCCTTTCTCCTTTTTACCATGAGAACACAGTGAAAGAGGCCATCCATCAATGAGGAAGCAGATTCTCAGTAGACACCAAAACCATCTGTGCCTTCATCTTGCTCTTTATACCTTGAGAACCATGAGACATAAATTTCTGTTATTTATAAACTATCCACTCTGTGGTACTCTGTTGTAATAGCCTGAGCTGACTAAAGTCAGTAGGTTAGGACCAAACTGCTTAAGTCATTCCTTTTCACACTAAATACTAAAATACTAAGTCACTTGAAAATGTATCCAGTGTGCAAAGGGAAACCACCAAAAGATTTTAAAAGAATGAATATTAATTGAGCTCTTAAATATATATATCAAGAACTGACCATCATGAATCTCTTATAGGCTGTGTCAAGGTCGTAATGGAAGTAAGTGGTGGTGCTGGGACTCTAGAACACATCCTCTGACTCTATGTAACATCGTCTCCCTATCCATGCAACAGAGGAGTGGGAAGAAGAATCTGGCAGTGACAGCCAAAGTAAGATGAGTTGAGAAGAAGAAGGAAGAAGGGAAAATGAAGAAGTAGAAGAACAGATCACCGGAGATGGGAATCTAAAGAATTGAATGCTGTGAAGTGTCAAAGCCTTTCCTGTTGTCTGGGAAGCAATGAAATAGGCAAAAGAAATAACTACTCTGGGTTAAAGTCACCAAAATCACAGGAGAAAAAAAAGTTTAAATCTTAGTTATACTGAAAATATCTTCTTGATTTATTAATTTTTAACTACAGAAGATGTGGTGGTCTCTTTTTAATAATAGACTACTATAGCCAATTATCGTTAGACACTTCCTGTACTTGTAATTACTTTTGAACATGTTTTACTAGATTATAACCTGTGGAGGGCAGAGTCTGTGGCTGCATTAGCAGAACTGAACACCTTGCTATAAGCGTTATTATTTACTTGTTAATGTTAATACTCACTGAAAACATATACACGCACTCCTGTGCATGGCCAATCCCATATAGTCATTTTGATCTCTCAAGAATGGCTTTCTTCTGGGGCACCTGGGAGGTTCAATGGGTTAAAGCCTCTGCCTTCTGCTCCAGTCATGATCCCAGAGTCCTGGGATAGAGCCCTGCATCAGGCTCTCTGCTCAGCAGGGAGCCTGCTTCCCGCGCCCCGCACCCCCCCCCCCCCCCCCCCCCCCCCCCCCCCCCCCCGCACCTCTCTCTGCCTGCCTCTCTGCCTACTTGTGATCTCTGTCTGTCAAATAAATAAATAAAATCTTAAAAAAAAAAAAAAAAGAATGTCTTTCTTTTTCCGAAATCATTTTTGCAATATAAAGGTATTGAGGAGAAAGACAGTGGCTTTAGAGTCAATCAACAATCAGGTCAAACGATTTTAGAAAAGAGAAGCATACTGAATATGCTAAAGAGAAGCTATGTGGCAATCAAATGACTGAGAGCTGTCAAATGGGACCTTCAGTGCTTTGGAAAGTTTTGTCAGAAAGACTAACTCATGATTTTTAAACAATTTCTTTGGTCTCCAATCTTTCATCTTGTAGGAAGATGATCTTTATCATACTGAGCATATCGTCCCCCTTTTGAATATTATGTATTAGTTCTTCGCAACTTAGATTCTTTTTTTTTTTTTAAAGATTTATTTATTTGAGAGAGAGAGAGAGGGGTGTGTGAGAGAGAGAGAGAGAAAGAGAGAGAGAGGCAGGGAGGGGCAGAAGGAGAGTGTGAGAGAAAATTTAGCAGACCGTGAGCTCAGCACAGAGCCTGATGCGGGGTTGGATCCCACCACCCTGAGATCATGGCCTTAAGATCATGACCTGAGACAAAACCAGGAGTCAGACGCTTAACCAACTGTGCCACCCTGGTGACCCTCCACAGCTTAGATTCTAAAGAAGCAGTATAGTAATTATAAGTGAAGGTAGAGTTACACAAAACAGTTGAAATCACAGCTCTATCACTAGCTGTCATAGGCAAGTTTTTTTGTTTTTGTTTTTCTTTAAATAAGTCTCAGTTTCTCTTTGTCTTTACCTCACTTAAATGGCTATAATGAGAAGTTAATCAAATAAGCCATGGATATGGGCATAGCACAACCAATACTCACAATGTATTAGTATTTGTATCAGTAAAGAGTTTTCAGAGAAAAAGGCCAATAGGAGTGAAGGCGGGAGAGAAGGAGGAAGGAGGAAGGGTGGGAGGGGAGGAAAGGAAGAAAGGAAGAAAGAGAGGAAAATAGATTTTAAACAATTGTTTCAAGTCTGAAATTTGCAGGGCAGACCAGCATGCTGGATTATAGGGCAGAAATATAGGCAGCATTGTTATGTTATAATCTTGAGGAAGAATTCCAGCATTGTTTTCTCTAAGAAACCTGTTTTGGTCTTAAGGCCTTCAACAGATTGGATAAGACCCACCCACATTATGAAAGATAATCACATCCACACACCTTCATAGCAGCATATAGACTAGAGTCTGACCAAACACCTGGGAATTTTAACCTAGCCAAATGACACATAAAATTAACCAAGATGGTATTATTTTACTAAGGAACAAAACTGACTTCCTTATAATTGCTTGAAAATGTGTGCTTTCTCCTGCCTCTGTCTCCTTTACAGACCACCTTCTGCTTTATCTACCCCTACTTCTCTGCATGGCAAACTTATACTAATCTTCCAGGTCTCAGGTAATTTCTTTTGCTCAACTTTCATTATTATTCCACGCAGAATCTAGTGCATCTCCTGTGTTCAAATAGTGCTTTGTATAATCCTCTTGAAAGCAAACCATATAAAATTGGATTGTCCCTTTCTGTTTTTATATTCTTGGCACACATTTAGTTAGTATAGAGTAAAAATTTGAAGATTCAAATGAATTTTTCAATTATAGAAAGAAAAGAGGGAAGGAAGCAAAGGAAGAACAAGGAAGAGTAGAAGGAAAGCAGGAAAGGATTATTAATTTCTTTCTACAACCTGTTCTTGGACATCTTTAGTTGCCTACAATCTTTTTATCCTTCCCATTTGACTCAGAGGATGAAACATGATAAAGTATTTACCTACAAGCTTCTTAAACTTGAGAACAATGTGATATATGCCATATATATATATATATGTATATGTTGTGCATATATATATATATATATATGCACAACATAAGTACTCCCCAAAAAACTATCACAGAGCTGAAGATTTTGTGGTGGGATCTGAGATTGAGATCAAAACTGACCGAGCCTTTAATTTTTTTAAAATATTTTTTGTTACTACCTTTCATGAAAAATTAGGTAACTCTAAAATATTTTATTAGACATCCCATCATGTGTTACATGTCTTTATCATGTTTAATGTGAAAATCAAGCCTGAGCCACCATATCTATCTTTTTGTCAATGCCTTCATGCTGATAATACCTGGATATCCTACAAGTAAGAGGTCATGAAAACCATTTTCTGGGATGATGTTATTATGTCTCACATGAAAAGACATCACTTATAGGTAGATAATTCATGTCGCTGCCTTCTGAATGGCTGAGTCATCTCAGCTGGTTTATCTCCTGGTCACCTGCTCTGCAATCACTTTCAAACGCGATTTGCTATTGGACCCTACTTAGTTGACTGTTGACACCAGGGAAGTCAAAAAACTCCTGTATTGTTTCTACTTACAAAAGAGGCGGCACATTATGCAAAACGTGGCCTCTGGCAGTGAGAAAGCTCAGAACACCCTTCATTCCGCATCTGCAGACAAAGGACGGACCAAACACTTTTGGGCTCTATATACTGCAGTATCATCCGAGATGCACGCTCAGTCTTAGAGAAGAGAGATAAATGAGCCTAATGACTAGTCAATGAACAAGGAGAACTTTTTGTTGTTGCTTTACTTTAGATTTAGAATTAAGCTTTAGCTTCCAGCATTAATTTCATCTCAGTGACCCTATTTCTAAAAACGAAATAGTGCTCTCCCTTTGAGTCTTTGTTATTATCTCTGAATTCTGTTGAGGTGAGTTAACGGAATTATGATACAGGGCTGTTATTACAGGAGGTAAATTCTGAGCAGTCACTGAAGACCTTGGAGAACACAGGACACTGAGGAGTGGGGGTGGAGAGAGGGAATGGGAGAGGGAGATTGTTTACCTCTCTGGGCCCTTGAAACTAGCATTTTTCACATATTACATTTATTTTCATTTTTCAGTCATCGGCACTTGACATTGTTTTTCTGAAATGAAGATGTTGTTTAAATTAATGATTCTGTTAACTGTGGATGGTGTTGTCCTCCTTTAAATGTAATTTTTTCAATTGTTTTAGATATGGGTTTTTAGGGTCATTATGAGTTGCAGGTTTTTTTGTTTTGTTTTTTTGGTTGGCTGGTTTGGTTTGATTTCATTTTGGGTTTTTCTTTCTCTTGGCTTAGTTCTGATCACAGGACAGTTCTTCATCCTTCTGCTTCCCTAAGCCCATAATTTGCATAAAACCATAATTCAGATACTCTGAATTTTAGCTTCTTTCATGAGCTCAGGGCCCTAGGCATCCCCTTGCTTCAGGCAGTTGAGCTGGAACAGAGGAACTGAGCCCCTACCCCCACTACCAGCTTCTGGCTCAGGAGCCCAAAAGTCATTTATATTCAGCCACATTTTCCAATTTTTCTAGTCCAAGGAAATGTTTGGTTTGTTTTTGAACCAGGCTTTGTGTTAGGGTGTTTTCTTTTTATATTTTATCTTTCACTTTTAAATGATAAGAGTGGAGGAATGCTTCAAAACAGCTACTGACAGAGCCATTGTGACCAGATGTCCCCAGGGTCCTTACATTATCAAGAATTCTTTGATATTGAGCCATAGACTGAAAATAGGTTAACTATCCTCTGATGATTCAATGGTTCTCAAATTTTCATATGCCTAAGGGTCACTCAGGTCTTTGTTACAAAGCAGATTCCCAGACTCCATCTCTAGAGATTCTAACTCAATATGGTTGGGTGGGAGGAGGGGAGTGGAGCCTACACATCTACAGTTTTAATCCACCTAAGTGATTTGGGGTCTGTTCCAACAGTGGATAATTGATGGATTCTCAGAAACCAAGAGCTCGAGTATATTACAATTCCAGCATGAAGAGGACTGGTTACAGTGGCAGAGAACTCTATTCTTCTGCATTGGACAGCTATCTGTGTGACTCTCCAAGAATCAGGACATCCTGTGAAGAAAGGGAAGAAAGAGAGAACACTAATGACTATAGCTCCAATGTGAGCAACAGAGAGGAGCGTAGCCAGCACGTTCAGTCAAATTCTGTGTCGCGTGGTTGACAGAAGGGAATCTCAGATCAGAGATGCAACACAAAGGAAAAAATTTTATAGAAGTTTAATGTAGTGTCTCCTATTCAATATCTTAATATAACTGTAGTAAGAACGTTTGTCTTATATGCTAGAAATGCCCATGAGTGTGGAAAAAACAGAGAGGGATTACACTACTCAACGATATTCTATGAAATAATCTTTTATGGGGATTAAAATTGGATGGATTAAGGTGTTATATTTATGCTGAAGAGAACTTGACTAATAGGTGGCTTAATGACAGTGATATGAAACAATGAAGATAACAGGAAGCTGATGAATTCTTCACTATACTGATGTGAAAGTTCCTCACCACCAAGAAAATGGCAAAGCCTTTTTATCTATTTGCATGTCACTCTATACTGTAAATTATAAAATGAGTGAGTGACTAGTCTCAGGATCTTCTGGCTCGCAGTAGCTCAATGGTTCCAGGCCCATCTTGTGAAGCATTAGTACAAAAGAACAGACCTAACTTTGGGAAATGACAATTAGATCATTCTACATGTTTATGTTTGTGTGTGTGTGTGTGTCCCTCTGCCAAAAGATGTGTCAGAGAGTTCTAAAATTGAACGAGTTATGATAATTCCTTAACAAAACAGACCTTAGTTGCTATAAATGTTCTCTATGCCTTCTGCTCTCCAAATCGTTTTGTATATAAATGGAAGAAAAGGCCCCAAACTTACTTGGTTTTTCTATTTTCTACTACAATCAAATGGGTTGGGGGGACATGGCTGGACGTTTAATTATGGAAAACTTAGACCAGTTCTTCCATAGCTTTAGCTCGAGTGTCTCCTGAGGCACAGGCACACTGCAGATGAACATATCTGTGATCCTGCCATAGAAGTTTAATTCTGACAAAAGGCTGGCTGACAGGTGTTTATAAAACTTGGCTATAGTCTTCTGGTCCTCCCAGCTAAAAGAGAAGCTGAAGATATCTATCTGCAAAAGGAAGATCTGACTGAAAAAAAAAAAAAAAAGTATGTGTGTGGGGGTTATTTAGTGCATCTCCATAGGAAAATTTCAATTCACAGAAATAATAGATTTTGAATACTGCTCTCCAGGAATACACAGTCAAAAAAGTGATATGAGAGATTTCAGACTTTTAGTATAGTCATCAGAGTCCTTAAGACTGGCAAATTTATCTGAGGTATCAAGAAATGTCTGCCATCCTTTATGAGCAAAATACCGCACACACTCCAAAATTTCTTTTCTCTTTTCCTTTTCCTTTTTTTTTTTTTACCAGCAATATACTTCTGATAACTGTCATTTATTTTTTATAAATGTAGCAATGTATATAGAAATTTCTGCTGACTCACCAAGGAAGTGAAAAGTAAAATGAGGAAACAGAGCATGTCTTTTGACAGACTGACTTGAAAAGTATTGTGTCCACATATAAACATGCCAGATTAAAACCCTGACCTTCATGGATGTGGTCTGAGTGACTTCATGTGGAGGCAACATAGTTAGTTCAGTGGCTCATATATGGGATTTACAGACAGATCTTGGATCAGCTGGGTTTAGGCTCTATCTTTGTACTGAAAGTATGACCTTGAACTTAATAGGATCCTCTCTTATCTGAATAAAGGAATTATGCAAGATGACTAGCACAGGGCCTGCCCTCTAGCTCCCCTGGAAGTGTGTGCTAGGTGGAAAAGGGAGGAGGAGTGGTAGTGGTATAAAGGGGGAAGGGTGAAAAGAGAGAAACAACTGAATTCAGACTGTTATGCAAAGTGCCCCGTTCAAAATACAAGTGATCGGTTGTCTGAAAGCAGGTAGTGGCAGACCAGGACATTCACTGCTTGTATTTGCAAGAAGAGTTGCTGCCCAGCTGCCAGGAATGTTGTCTTTACACAGCCTCCCCCTGTCAAGGCCAAGCTTCACCTTTCCTGGGATGGTCCATATCCAACCACACTGATGAAGGCAGAAGTATAAAGTCCAGGTTTGCCAGCTTATTGGGACATATATTCTAGCAGTTGACCAAAGCTTCTTGGGCTTTTATTATAGTTCAATTTGGCCCATCATCCAACCCTACTTCCCTCTATTCCCTTCCATAGGTATTGACCTCTAATAAACACCCTCTACTCAAAACAAGTCTCAATCTCAAAGTCTGGAGAACCCACCCTGTGACACAGAGTACAAACTCTGACAACAGCTGTAGAGCATTAAAGTCCTAGGAAGCAAGCATACTAGACGTTGTCTTTTATATCTCCACATTCCATGCTGCTTTGGAGCAGAAAGTTTTTGAGATTCATAAAACAAAATGGTTTTACAAAACCTCTGTGAATGCTTATCTGACTACTCATTGTGCAGAATTCTTACAAAGTAATGTCTACATATCCAAGATATACAAATGGTGGCTAAAACTACAAACAAAAGGAT